AGGCTCTACCAAGTGCCTGAAGGTTTTTTAGACTGAGTTGCTTGTCTGAGATTAGGAGAGTAGCAGGTCTAGAGGCCAGTGGTTTTGTCCTCTTGGGATCTCACCAAAAAATAAAAGTTAACTTCATTCTTCTGAGCCCTTAAACTCTTATGGTTGTCTTTCTTTTCCACCGCTGATGGAGTAGTATGCCAAAAGTCATAGCTTGCTTTACCACACAGGGGCTTGTCCCATAGGAGAGCCTTTTCTAGTTGGGGTATTTCAGCTTTGACCTTCTTATTTTATCATTCTGATTTGGGGATCTGTTTGGCCATCTACTTGAGGTTGACTTTTCTGCATTTACCACCAGCTTTGCACTGTATCATTTGAAGATGTAGAATGAGCAATTCTTGGTTGACCCTCCTTCTCTGCTTTTAATTGTGTTTGCTAGTGGTTATGGGGTCTTCTCTAAAGGTAGCAAGTCCAGCTGATGGCTATTGCTCTAGGAGGCCCCCAGTTTCTTTCTGTGGAGAGAATCTGCAAAGTGGTAGCAAGGGCTGGTCTTGCTGGGGATGGCCTATCTCTATTGAGTTCTTTTTTTTTTTTTTTTTTGAGACAGGGTTTTGCTATGTTGCCCAAGCTGGTCTCAAACTTAGCCTCCCAAGTGGCTAGGACTACAGGCACACGCCACCATGCCCAGCTTCCACTGTGGACTTAAACCTGGTCTGAGTGGCAAGGAGATTTATTAACTGGAACTCAAAAATAGTAATTCAGAAAATATAATTAGCAATAGTTATTAAAATAGGTTTTGATGACGTAGCTATTTACCCAGGAAACCACCTACTTCTGATGTTTTTTTCCCTCCTTGCCCTATGGACTTCCAGACCTGTCATTTTGCTGTAGGCCCTGAAGTGCAGTCCTCCTCTTCTGTGCCCCACTTGGAACAAAATTGAGACTTCACTCTTGCTTCTCTTAGCAAACACATATACACGCAGTTGCCAGGTTACTGGTATTTTAAAGATCCAGGTCTCTCACCCTCCCATCAGGAACATGGCCTTATGGCTGAGGTGGGGATTTCTGTAGTGTGAGGATGTAGAAAGTCTTGAAGTTTTAGTTTCTAAAGCAGATCTCTTTAATTGGTTTTGGTTCTCAAAATGACAGTCAACAAGGGGGCTCCTGATCTGCTCTTCTTGAGATGCTGCTGGGACTTCACTAGGGAGGCCACAGAGGCATCTCTGAGCTCTGGTAGCTGTGATGGCCCTTTGACTTATCTTGGCAGGCTGAGCTTCAGGTGTCTCTGCTTCCCAGGAAGGGTGGAATGCTGAGTCAGTTAGACCTCAGGTCTCTTAACAATCAGAGAGCTAAGCTGGTGAGTCCAAGGCATTCAGTGGCTTGAATGATGGACTCAGGAAGTTGAAGTCCTCTCCTTCCAGGGAGGAATGAGCCTGCAAGGTTAGGACTTGAAGAGAAATGATATTTGATGACTGGTGAGAATTCCATATAGAATCAGGTTCAGCTCAGAAAATTGGCTAAGATTCAGGAAGAACAACAACAACAACAAAATTCAGAGTCCTACAATGTGTTTACAATAGTAGAAATTTTAGGAGGAAATTTTGGACATGGGAAAAAGTGGTTGTTTCTGTGGATGAAAGGAGGCAATGTTAGAGGGCATTTTAGATCTGAAGTAGGGATTCAGAGAGTGTTTTGTGGCTGTGGAATGAGGCTGCCCTCAGCCTGAAACAACTAAGAGCTCTACCCACACTTGTTAAACTCGCCCCTGAGCAGTATTGAACTTGAAGTCTGCCTTCCTGGACTAATCAGTGGTGCTGGGTAGCTATGAGACAGGATGACGGCTCAGGTCAGAGGGGCCCCCTCCCTGCAGCAGGCAGCCATAGGCAATGTCTGGTGGGTGATAAGAATCCACAAGCATTGCATGTCCTGTGACCATTCCAGACCATGGTTCTTCTTGATTGTATTGCACAGAGGTGATAAGCAGTCATATTTCCCTCCTCCTTTTTGTTTTCTTTTTTCTACCCCTTACCTTTCTTCTATAGAACCTTCTCCCTGCTGCAGCCTGGACTCTAGATTCCTAGGCTCTAAGGACATACAAGAACTGCAGGGTTTACCAAATGTGGGAGGGCTTCTAGATTGCCCTTCACTTCCCCATTTTAAGAATGTGATATCTCTGGTCTGTCTGCCTTGGGGTAGAGAACTGACCCAAACACAGAGAATTGAAGTAGAGCCTTTTCCTTTTACTGTCTGCACTCCAGGATGAGAAAAGAGGGTCATGATTGATGCTTAGGTTGAGTTTTCTGGGAAGAGAACTGAGCTGAGCAAAGCAAGGTGAACCTGGGCCAGGCTTTCTGAGAGTCATCTTCTTTGTGCTGGCTGTGCCACTGCTGAGAGTGTCTTATGTTGCACCTTGCCCACCTCACCCACCTCACCCTATCCTCCCACTGTTGTCATTGCTGCTAATGGTCAAAGTCAAATATGTGGCTACATGGGATGGGCCAGGTCCTTTTGGACTGCTTTATCTGGTTGTCAGTTTTTAAAAATGGAAACATGCAGGTGCCTTCTGAAAGAGGCTTGGATTGGTATGTCACACCAGAAACAAATAAGCTAAAGAAAGTTTGGACTCCAGAAGGAAGATGGTGACAGTTTGTGTGACAGCTGGAAAACATACAAGCACCCACATTTGGGACAAACCAGTGAAGATGAACTTATGGTCACATCTACTATTTAAAAGAAAGGTTCTCATCTTGGGTTGATTGTAGTATACAGTGTGTTATGAAGAATGTTGAGCTGAAGCTTTGAATTGCTTTAGTCCAGTATAAATCACTTGCTTTGGTTCCTGTGTATTTTATGACCCCTCTGACAGTGATTTTGCCTCGTTCCCCACCAAGTGTGAATTTGTAGCATGATTGTATAAGCCTCGATGTAGAAAATGGAGATTTCTTGTTCCCTAAAATGTTATCTAACCAGTCTTTCTGTGCCCATTAGCCTAGTATGTCTGAACTTATTTTCTTGTTATATATCTAAAATTTCCCTCTATCCTGTAGGTTTTGTGGCATCCCCTTGTCAGGTGGAGAGGAAGCTGCCCCTTACAGAACTGTACTGTAACTGTTTTTCTTTTATGAATATTATTTTCACAGGACTGATTGTACACAGGGCTTGTAATAAAATTATAACACTGTGCTGTGAAACCACACTGAGGATCTCCACTGAAGGCCACTTCAAAGGCACTTGAAAGTGGAGTGTTTCTATGACTTTAGTTCTTGTTTCCTAAGTATATTAAACCTAATTTTCACCCTTTCATTCTGTTTCAGCCTCCTGTATAAGAAGTACCGTATTTTCTGCCCATCATACTTTGTAATAAAACTTGAACATGTATAGATTGAATTTCTTCTTGTGGTGAATTCAGTTCGTCCCAGTTTGCCCTTTTGGTAATGTTTCAGAGACACTGGCTGGAGGATTAAACCCCACCTCAGCCTATTACACTTATCTGACAGTCCAGCTCATCACCTCTTACTCTGTTTTGGTCACTTGCTTGTTATTTGGTTAACCAAACACAGAGCACCTACTGTATGCCAAGGATTGTGTCCTTCAGACTGCTTACACTCTACAAAGGGAGACAAATTACAAATAGTTTGTAATGTTACTACAATAACAGGGATGTGTTCAGGCACACTGGTAGCCCTGAGGAAGCCTCTGCCTGGGTGGGAGACAGAGAAAATTGCAAGATGAGGGCAGCCTGACTCGGGTTTTATATTGTTTAGTTTTCAGCACTGGGGACTGGCAGTCTGCCACGGAGCCACAGTCCTGACTAGGAATTTGAGTAGGAGTTCTTTGGAAATAGGGAATGTTACTTAAGGCAGAGAGAACACCCATATGTAGAGGCAAGAAAGAACTACATATTGATGAATTGTGCATGTGAAATTGTGGGAAATGTAGCTGGAGAGGTAAGCAGAAGCCAAATCAGGGAGAGTTTTGTGCTTTGCAAAAATGTTAGACCTTATACCTAATACTCATGTATGAGACTTTGGAAAATTTAACATAAAATGAAATTATGAACAGAATTGCATTTTAGGCTAGGTATGGTGGTGCACATCTGTAATCCCAGCAGTTAGGAAGGCTGAGGCAGGAGGATCACAAGTTCAAAGCCAGCCTCAGCAACTTAGTGAGACCCTTTCTCAAAATAAAACAAAAAGGACTGGGAAGAGAACTGAGCTGAGCAAAGGGCTGGGGATGTGGCTCAGTGGTTAAGCACTCCAGGATGAGGAAAGAGGGTCATGATTGAGTTCCTGGTACAAAAAAAAAAAAAGGCATTTTAGAAAGATAGGCAATGAAGCCTCTGAAAGGGTGGTGAGATGGGGAGTTGTGTCATGCTGTATTAGTCAAGGTGAGAGAAAACAAAAGCCTGAACTAAGGCAGGAGCAGCAGAGATGAGAAGGACAGGGCACAGTGAAGGAATATTCAAAATTCAGTAATCTATTGACTTTGAAAAACAAAGAGATGATAACTTCTAAATCTCATATCTGGACACCAGGCTCTTACAACTGACTCAAGAGTTCCAAAGCCATGCCAGTTTCTCAAACCTATGATCCAACATGGTAGGATGGGGAAAAGGTTCCTATCCCACTGCTATTCCAATGCTGTGCAGCCCGGATGAAATGCAACCCCCCATTTATTTTAGCTATTTGCTCCTATTAGTCCATTTTTAGAGAAGCAAGGCAAACTGGTTAGTTTAGTGAGCCTGTATTCAGCAAGTGCCTGCCATTGCAAGACAACATAGAATTGAGGTAACAGGTTCTTGAAGACAAGTGTGTACTCGAGAACTTAAAATTCCCAAGCACCCACTGGCTCTGTTGGAACTGTGCTATGATCTTACAATGCATGTTTTATAGGAAATATGTGATTCTGCTCCCTTGTTTTTAAGGATAAAACCGGGAGAGTGACACTTGACTGCAGTCTCAATTGGCTAGGTAAGGTGAGGCTGTGCAACAAACTCCCAAATCTCAGTGACTGAGCACAACCAAAGTTTATTTTTTGCTTACACAAAGTCCTTTGGCAATAGATCAGCCCTTCTCCACCTTCATCTGGAACATCTGGCCTCCCAGTCACTTTGGAAAGGGGAAGTAATATTTTTCAGGTAGGCCTGGAAGTGGCTTACTCCTGCCCATGTCTACCAAACTCAGTCACATGGTTCCAACATAAGGAAAGTCAAGAAATCAAGTCTTCTGTGGGCCCTGGAAGAGGAAATAAAGTGACCAGTAAATAGTAATGTCTTTACAATATATCATAGGGTGCACTACCTGGAATAACAGCGTCATTTGTTAAGAGCTGTTTGAACTGGACAATACATGTTTGAACCTAATAGAATGATACCTTCTACCAGTCTTTTACCTTTTTATTTTTTTTAAGTTTTTTTAAAAAATATATTTTAAGTTGTAGATGGACACAATATCTTTATTTTATTTATTTTTATGTGGTGCTAAGGATCGAACCCACTGCCTCACATGTGCTAGACAAGTGCTCTACCACTGAGCCACCACAGCCCCAGCCCTTCCAAGGTTCATTTTTAAGTGATTTCAATGATCCTGACAATCAAGCCTCTGGAGATAGTTCAGTCATTTGTGAATTGGTCTTGAGGAAGTAAATAGCTCAGACTGAAAAAGCAAAAAAATCTGGGTATGTAGCTCTGTGGTAGAACTAGTGTGTGCCTACACCTTGTGAGTGATCCCAAGCCCTGTCAAAAAAATAAAATACACATAAAAACAGCTACAGAGTCGAAGCAAATTATATTTCTTTCCAAATCACACGCTGAAGCTTAAAGTGTCAAAAACACACATTTTTCTTCTGAGTGACTACTCTTTAAAAAAATTTGCCAAGAAACTGTTCTCTAAAATCATAGTTTGCTGTTTGAATCCTGACTGTCTTGCTTGGAGGAGCTGTCACTTTGACAGAAAGGAGCATAGCCTTGATTTCCAAACCAGGTATAGGGCTTCCAGGCAGAGGTTTGTGAACACAACTTTAAATTTATCTTAACTTTATATCTGCTGAGGAGACTGATGCCTTGGGCCCTCTGCAGTCCAAGCAGATGTCAGCAGATTTTTGCATACTCTGTGTTCCTTTGAGCCTATCAAACTGTTTCACTTAAATTTGGCTAAATCTCCACCTTCCCCATAATCCTATAGTAACTGTCATATCCTTTACTTGACAAGATACCATCCTCCCACCATTCCTCTGGTGTGTATTCTCCCCTACTGCAGTGAGCATCAGCTTGACTGTTGGATGATAGGTTTGACCCTGGAGGGCTGGTGATGATACAAGAACAGTCGAAACCTTGTTTGATTTCTGCACTTATTTGTGAATATAAATTCTATTAATTTGCATTTTGCTACTAAGGTAACATCATAACTACATTTAATTATAAAAAGTAACATGAATAGCTAGTGAGCACATGAAAAGATGTTCAACATTATTACTCAACAGGGAAGTATAATCAAATCAATGAGAACACATCACACCCCTCGGATGGTAACAATTACAAAAAGATAAATTTAGTGAGGGTGTGAGAAACTGAACCCTCATACCTTGCTGGTGGGAATATAAAGTAATGCAACCACTCTGCAAAATAGTCTGGCTGTCCCTCAAAAAGGTCAAACAATTCTAATTGCAACTTGACCCAGAAATTCCACTCATAGATATATTCCCAAGAGAAGTGAAGTTCCCAAGTTTACACATATTCACATATTCATAGCATCATTATTCATAATAGAACGTGGAAACGTAGATAAATAAAATGTGGTATGTTCATATAATGGAATATTATTTGACAATAAAAAGGAATGAAATACTGATGTGCTACAACATAACTGAACCCTGAAAACATGCTATGCAAAAAAGTAGTGAATCACAAAGGATCACATAGTGTATGATCTCATTTGTATGAAACGTCCAACAGAGGCAAATCTACAGAGACAGAAGCTATTGCCTCAGGCATTGAAAATTGGGAAGAAATGGTAGTGACTGCTAATGGATATAGTGTTTCTTTTGAGAATGATGAAAATGTAAGATTGATTATGGTGATGGCTACACAACTCTGTAAATATACCAAAAATCATTGTTTACTTTTAAGTTGATGGCCTGTATTACATGTGGGATGTATTAATAAAGTCATTTTCTTTTCAAAACCTACTATGGGGCACAGGAATAGTATCATAATGGAGAGACATATGCATTTTGATATAAAAAAGGTAAGTACCAAAATACAAACATGCATGAAGGGTTATATGAGGGCAGAGTAGGGCACCTCAGCCCAATCAGCCCAACCTGAGAGTTTGTAGATATTGATCTTAAGATAGGAAATAATGCTTGAGCTGAATCTTTTGTTTTTGTTTTTTTTGCGGGGGGTGGGGGCGGTGGATTGAATCAGGGATGCTTTACCACTAGGTTTCACTAAATTGCTTAGGGCCTTGCTAAGTTGCTGAGGCTGGCCTCAAACATGTGATCCTCCTGCCTCACCATCCTGTGTCACTGAGATTACAGGCATGCACCATCAAGCCTGACAACCTGAGCTACATCCTGAAGGAAGAATGAAAACTAACCAGGTAAAGTGAAGTGTAATAGAGCCCAGCAAAGACATAGGTCTGGGGGCTGGGGATACAGCTCAATTGGTGGAGTGCTTGCTTAGCATGCACAAGACCCTGGGTTCAATCCCTAGCACCACCAAAAATTAAATAAAATTGTTCTAAGGACAAAGCTTTTTTTTTTTTTTAAAAAAAAAAAGACATAGGTCTGTGCTTAAAAGGAATTGGGAGAAGTATTAAGAGCAATATGGTGTTGCTAATCGCAAGGAAGAGGATGCCTGCCTGCGTTCATCACTAAGAAGTCTGGATTTTTAAAAAAATTAAATTTGCTGAGCACATTGGTGCACACCTGTAACTGCAACTACTCAGGAGGCTGAGACAGAAGGATCACAAGTTTTAGGCCAGCCTAGGCAACTTAGCAAGACCCTGTCTCAAAATTTTAAAAAGACTGGGGTTTAGCTCAATGATAGAATGCTTGCCTAGCATGCTCAAGATCCTGGCACTTCTAGCACCACACACACACACACACACACACATATACACATACACACACATTCCTAAGTGAACTATTAATTACAGTTAAAGGGCTAAGGATGTAGCTCTGTGGCAGAGCACTTGCCTAGCATGCTACAAGGACCTAGGTTTAGTCTCTAGCACCACAAGAAAAAAATTACAGCTAAAATTTTGAAGAAGTTCCATAAGAAGGATCACTGAGAAGGTGATAGCCAAATTGGGAGATGATAAAGATTTCACCAATGAGACAACGAAGGCATTTTAAACAGAGAAGCAAAGAGGTGATAAGATTTTGTACTCAGAGCTGAGCATAGTGATGTACCACTGTAATTCCAGTGAAAGGGTCAGGTGGTGGGAGCTGAGGAAGGACACAGTGAACTCTTTCCTCACACTGGAGTGCAGCATCAGGACATGAGACTGCAAAATGAGTAGCTGGATTAGGGCGGTCCTTATGTAATAAAATAAAATAATAAATATTAACAAAATATAATAAAAATATACAAATAAAATAATAATACATAACAAATAAAATATAATAATAAATAATAATAATAAATCTATGTCTGTGTGCTTTACATCTATTATCCCATTATCCTGACACTGGAGAATAGGTGTCTCTGGAGAAGGATCCTAGGAGATCCCAAAGGGAAGGGGGGATTTGACTCCGTACTAGCAAGATCTTTTCCTTAAATGATGGAAAAGAATTTCAAGTGTGTATCAGTCAAAGGCATAAACAGAGGTCTACTTTCCTGTTATTTAGGAAGGTAGATATGTATGTGTTCAGGGAGAATGCTGACAATCTCAAGATAGATGCTTTTGGGGGTAAAGCAAGGAATACACATTCAAGTGAGAATACAGGCCATCTTGAGAATGAGAGATGTGGTTTGGAAATTCTGGCTCTTTATTTAGGTACTGGGGATTGAATCTAGGGGTGCTTTACCACTGAGCTACATCCCCAGCCCTATATATTTTGTTTTTGAGTCAGAGTCTCACAAAGTTGCTTAGGGCCTAAGTTACTGAGGCTGTCCTCAAACCTGCAATCCTCCTGCCTCAGCCTCTCAAGTCACTAGAATTACCAATTGTGCCACTGTGCCAGGCTCTGGCTCTTCTTGTAAAAGAAACTTGCTGAGGGGTAGGTATGAGAAAGATATCGGTCTAGTGATCTCAACAGTTTATGGTGGTCTGGGCAATCTCAGGATCCTTAGGCGATGTGTTCTTGATTGTCTGATCAATAGCACTGGAAAGTCCCTTAAATTATAGGTTTCTCAAAATATTACATCTCTCTTTATTTAACATATTTATTGGGGGGGGGGTGTTGATTAACAGTGCAAAGGTAGAATTACAGATTTCACAGGAATTCGTGGGTGACTGGCCTAGGAGACACTGGCTTAGGAAGTGACTGGCCTGAAACATTATGCAGAATTTCTTTTATCTTTATGTCTCCTTTCTACCTATTTTTTAAAAATTTCTTCTATCCTACCTCAATCTTAGATTTTATATCTAAGGAAGTGAAAAGTAAAGGAATTTGACCCAGGTTGCACTAGTAAATGAAACAGCCAAAGTTTGAACTTAGCCTGTCTAACCCCACAGGGCAGAAATTAAAGCAGGGAGTTTGACTACAAAAGGCTCCTCTCCCCAAAAGCCTGTGGCTCATCTGAATGTGCCCTAATGAACCTCTTGTGTTTAGGAGCTTAATCACTATGATCACTGCTGTCATTTATATTAGAATTTATTGCTTTAAAGCTCAAAGGGCTTGTGTTGTGTTTTGAACTCTTCTACGTTGGTAAAGTTGGTATCCTTGTTTATAGCCAGAGAGTAAATGTAAATGAGTCAGAGAGTAAAGGTCTAGATAACTCAACTTCTCTGAGGGCGGCTTTCTTACCTTAAAACGAGGCAGTTAAACGACATATTTCTTCGCAACAGCAGCAGACGACCTATTATTCTGTTAGGAAGGAATATGGAAGCAAAATCAGTTTCATAAACCAGATGTATCCCTATTAAATCATTGTGGGACATAAAGTTCGGTGCTCCCCCAAGCAACCCGGAGGGACTGAACACTAGGTCACGCCTCAGACTCACTCTTTGGAACCACAAAACAGGAGCCAAGGGCAGTGCAGCCACGGAACGGACTTTGCGGGCGATGGGGACCTGTTTTTGAAACGGACTTGTGAGAGGAAGTGCACTACTCCATCAAGGGTCCCCACATCTGGCTGCCGGGAGGACAGTGCGGGGGTCATTCCTCGTTAGACTGCTACAGACAGGCGTGACCGGCGGAAGCAAGCTCAGCGTCCAAACCTACTCGTTCCGGCAGCCGACAGGACGGGCTCATCTTAGCCGCTGCTGTTGGAAGTTGCAGCCAAGAGTGGGAGCCGATGGCGTTTTGGGCTGCCGCCAACGTGAGCAAAACAGCTGCCCGATGCTTGCGGGCGCGAGGCCCCGGGTTCCCTGCGGCTTCTCGGTTCGCCTCCCACCCAGAGCCTCCGGGCTACGGCCCTGTTGCGGGCAAGAAGCTGCACCTTACCGCGGCGGCCCTCGCCGGGCACAACAAATGGTCCAAAGTCCGGCACATTAAGGGTCCCAAGGATACAGAAAGGAGTCGCATCTTCTCCAAACTCTGTCTGAGCATCCGCCTGGCGGTTAAAGGTGAGAACCTGATAGCCCCTTCTGGCCGCCGCTGCCCTCTCCGACCCTATTGTCTCGCTTGCCTCCTGGGGTTGCGCTAGGGTGCACCCTGATCCCGAGACCTTCATTTTCTTTTCATTCCCCCAATTACCACTGTTGCCCACCTCATTAACCTTCAGAACCTATCTACATTGGATGTCCCTCATACACTCTTCCAAACAATTTTTCTTGTTAAAAAGGGAGCTGCCCTAGAAAGAAAGATAAGAAGTAAAAGTGACTTCATCCAAGTCTGTAGCTAGGAGCTCCATAGAAACAAATCCTCAGGTCAGATATATGTCTCAAACCCAAGCCCTCTGCAGTTGCTTCTTGTAGCATGTAGGTTGTGGCAGAGGCTATTGCTTGCCTAAGCCCCAGTTTGCCTCATTAGGGTTTCTTGAGACATATTTTCTTAGAAGGTAGGCTTGCAGCCATATCTTTTCCCAGTTTTGTAGCTACCCTAAAAAGTCTGTATTCTTTTTAGTGTCAGACATCCATAGGAGTAGAGAAAAAAAAAATCCTGTAAAAAGCAGGGACTTTGAAGTCAGGAAGACTTGGATTCTACTAATCCAAGACCTTGCACAAGTGGCTTAACTTTGTTGGGTTTTAGTTTCCTTTTCTGTAAAATGGATTTGGCCTGCTTTTCAGTAGTTTACTGAACATAATAAGCATTCATTTAATGTTAATTTGCCTCTAGAACTCCTGCCTGGTATTTCTTTTTGATTCCTTTTCTTCTGAATTCTGTATGCATGTATGTATGTATTTTACTGAAGGGCTAACACCAAGAGCCATTCACTCTTGGATTTTTTTTTTTTTTTCAGTACTGAGAGATCACCCACATCCTTGCACATGCTAGCCAAGAACTCTACCATTGAGCTACATCCCCAGCCCTTTTAAAATTTTTACTTTGAGACAGGATCTGACTAAAGTGCCCAGATTTGCCTCGAATTTGGAATTCTCCTGCCTCAGCCTCCTGAGTAACTGGGATTTCAGACATGAGTTGGCATATCCAGCTAAGAATTCTTGATATTAAGTTCAACTAACAGTATGGAAAGTTTATTTCCTGACAGGCACTGATCATACAAAGATTATGAGATACAGCCCCTAGTCTCAGAGACAGCATACTTACAATGTCATGTGAACATTTCAGTAATTATGCCCAAAGTAATAGAGTAAGAGCAAGGAGTATTAATAAGTCTAGGAGATATTGTTATCATCAGTGTCTCTCACCATTTTATCTAATGAAAAGTAGAGTTTGCCAAAACCTAGAATGGATAACCACTCCCAAAGATGCAGAGAATTAGAAATTTCTTTTCCAAAATACTTCCTATATTCCATGCAGATACTGGATACATTGTTTTTTGTTTGTTTGTTTTTGGTACTGGGGATTGAACTCAGGAACTTGACCACTGAGCCACATCCCCAGCCCTACTTTGTATTTTATTTAGAGTCAGTGTCTCCCTGAGTTGCTTAGTGCCTTACTGTTGCCCAGGCTGGCTTTGAACTCCTGATCCTCCTAACTCAGCATCCTCAGAGGCTGGGATTACAGGCCTGTCCACTGTGCTCAGCATGGATACATTGTTTTAATGAATGAAATGGTAACTTGCCACTGTTTTGGCTGGAAGTAGGGCTGTAAATCCCTTTTTTCTCCCATGCTGTAATGAGATATTTTTGCTGACACTTTTTTTCTTTATTTCAGAGGGAGGCCCTGACCCTGAGAGCAACAGCCACCTAGCTAATATCCTAGAGGTGTGTCGCAGCAAGCATATGCCCAAATCAACAATTGAGGCAGCGCTAAAAATGGAGGTGTGTCTTCAGTTTAATGTTCTTGTTATTGAACACAGTTCCCACAGGGTCTGTTTGGAAGGCTACCAAACACTCCTTAAATTATCAGACACTCTCAACCCAAGTGCCTCTGGGGTTTGGAGGAGCACAGTCAGGAGCAGGATGAGTAGATGGTGTTCAGAACCACACAACCCAGAACTTCCCAACCAAGCTGTGATGGGATGGGATAGAAAGAATGGGCACAGTGTGGGGAAAGCCCTGATATTAGTTTGAAGAAGGGTTATTTTTCTTTTTCAAATGTTTATGCCCTGTAGAAGAAAAGCCAGTAGAAGGGGAAAGGGTGACAGCGATAGTGATGGTGGGAGGAGCAGGGATGTTGAACTCCTGTGAGGGGTACCTTTTCCTCTGGGACAAGGAAGAATGATGTGAAGGAGTTAGTAATCATCTTAATAGCTAGTATTTATTGGGTGCTTATGCCAGGCCAAATACTTTGCTAAAAACTCTATATGCATTATCTCAGTGAATCCTCAAAATGATCCTAAGTGGAAATTGAGGCACAGAATGTTTAGGTGACTGACTAGTATGGCAATATATAAAAACGTGGATGTGTAACCGATGTGATTCTGCAATCTGTATACGGGGTAAAAATGGGAGTTTATAACCCACTTGAATCAAATGTGTGAAATATGATATGTCAAGAGCTTTGTAATGTTTTGAACAACCAATTAAAAAAAAAAAAAAAAGAATGTTTAGGTGACTGGACTTAGCTCAAACAGAAAATGACAGACTTGAATCAGACTCCAGAAACTATGCTCTAACATTATGCATATTGCCTTTATGTAGACAGAAGCAGAGATACAATTTTCTTCCACCCAGGGGCCCTGTATTTCCTTTGTGAAAGTGTAAGAGAAGTCATCAGTTGAAAGTTCCAGAAAGGTGCAGGGCAGGGTGCTTGAAAAGAGTAGTAAAGATTGGATGCATAGACAGGGATAAGTAAGAGGTGTGGGGAGTCCACATGAAATTGGTTATTGGCATTCTGGAGTGTTTGAATTTTGAGTCCATGCTATTTTCACCAGCTCTTAGGACAAGGCCCTGTTGTGTGATTTTTATGCAGCAGTACTCAGCAATCCAGGGGTAGGAGCATTGAGACTTAACAGGTGGGTTTCATGTGAAATAGGATGTAGGAGGATGAATCCTGGTGGGGGTGACTTGGGAGGACAGATGTGGGATTTGGCTGGGGAGGGGAGGAAGCAGAATTCAGAGATGGCTGATTATTCAAGGGACCAGGGAACCAAAACAGACTCCCTTCTGAGAAGGGGTGATATTTTCTGTTACCTCAAAAGTTGGTCCCTAGGGCCTCCTCTGAGAAGGTGGGGACAGAAATAAAGACTTGAGAATACAGGCTCCAGCCTAGAGGCCCATCTTATGAAGCCAACATTGTGGTGCCCGTGGTTTGGACTTGGCATGTAGGAGGGAATTGGGAAACAGGAAAATGTGTTTGTGTTGTTTATTGCAGAAAACTAAGGGCATTTATTTGCTGTATGAGGGTCGAGGCCCTGGTGGCTCTTCTCTGCTCATTGAGGCATTATCTAACAGTGGCTCCAAGTGCCAGTCAGACATTCGACATATCCTGAACAAGAATGGGTAGGTGTGTGTCTAGGGGAGAGGAATGTGGGAGGGAACAGAGCCTTCTGGTTCTAATCTATGCAAGGTAAATACTGTTGACTTCTTGTGGTATTTCAAATTATAAGCATACCTTCTCCTTATTAGAATCCACTGGCATAATTGAATTTTTTAAAATATTTTTTTAGTTGTAGGTGGACACAGTACCTTTATTTTATTCATTTATATGTGGTGCTGAGGATCGAACCCAGAGCCTCACATGTGTTAGGAAAGCGCTCTATCACTGAGCCACAACCCCAGCCTGGCATAATTGATTTGATCTTAATATATTCTGTTCTAGGAAGGATCCAAAAGACATGTTCATCTGTGTAGACAGGATCTTTGTCCCATTATCCCATCTGTAGCTATATAATGGTCAGGTCTTAAAATGCTTTACCAGGACTGGAGTCTTTAGGACTCCAGGAAATAATTAGCAAAGTCTTTGTATCCTCCAGACTCCAATCAGGGCAGAAAATAGAGGGTGGGGATGTTCTTGGACTATTCCTTACCCAGCAGCAGCTGCGTCTTCTTCAGGGAGGGAGCTGCTCCATGTCCATGTTTGCTCTATAGGCCCAGTGAGGAAGAGGTGGTGTTAGAGTCTGTGCTTTGTGGAGGCTGAATGTCTAAAGGCATCCATGCACTCTGGCCCATTTCCTTTCTTCTCAGGGGAATAATGACAGAAGGAGCTCGTCATTCTTTTGACAAAAAGGGGGTGGTTGTGGTTGGAGTGGAAGACAGAGAGAAGAAAGCTGTGAACCTAGAGCGTGCCCTGGAGCTGGCAATTGAAGCCGGAGCTGAAGATGTCAAGGAGGCTGAAGATGAAGAAGAAAAGAACCTTTTTAAAGTGAGTTTGAAGCCTCTATCTTTGGTGGGCTTAACATGCCTCTCTTGGTTTCTTCCTGTGCCCCAGGGTACAGGTGAGGAAAAGAGTTCACATATTGTACAAACATTAATTAAATGAATACTGGATAAGGGGCCTACTCTACTGAGGATGATGAGAAAGAGTCAGAATATTGAAAACTGTGAATTTAACCCAATGATATATTACAGTACAGCAGTTCCACTTGAGACTTTGCAAAGTTCTATCTGGCTTTGTTTTAATACCTTCTGACTTTCTTTTATCCCTTAGTTTATTTGTGATGCCTCTTCACTGCATCAAGTGAGGAACAAGCTGGACTCTCTGGGCTTATGCTCTGTGTCCTGTACACTGGAGTTCATCCCCACCTCAACAGTGCGACTGGCTGACCCCGACCTGGAGCAGGCTGCTCATCTCATCCAGGCTCTTGGCAACTATGAGGATGTGATTCATGTCTATGACAACATTGAATGACCAGGACATATGTGCTTGTGGGCTCCTTCTTAGGCAAGGGACAGCTCATTCTGTAGCACAGGCATCTGCAGCAATCTTTGAGACTGAAGAAGGTGGGAAGCCTAACAGGTTAGGAGGTCAAAGGCCATTTCTTGTGGCTTTGAGGTCAGGGGAATCACACTTTCCTGGGACTGCTTTGTTGGCACTGCTGGTATTTCAAAGCCCTCCTGGATGCAGGGTGGGATCAGCCAGCTGGTCTGACTGTGATCTCAGGTAGTTGGCCCTTGTGGGAATTGTAAACTCCTCAAGGCCCTATATATTGAAAACTACTCTTTGTGTGTGGGTACGTCTATGTGTGTGTGTTTATGGTATTAGGGATTGAATCAAGGGTGCTGTACCACTAAGCTCTGTCCCTAGCCTCTTTTTATTTTTTAAGTCAGGGTCTTGCTGCTCAGGCTGGCCTTGAACTTGGGATCCTCTTGCCTCAGCCTCCTGAATCACTGGGATAACAGATGTGTACAACCATGCCCAGCTGGAACCTATTCTTAAATAATGACAGTGGTTGATCTTGGTTGCTGCATTGCTGTTGTATGGCTCTTGAGCTTTTCTGCATTCATTTGGGTATTGGACTTCTAGACTAACTATTTCAGTACCCCATGCTTAGTTCCGTCCTTCAATTCCAGATTTTTGTTGTTGTTGTTTTGTAGTACTGGGGACTTCAACCAGGGATGCTTTACCACTAAGCTATACCCCCAAATCCTTTTACTTTTTACTTTGAAACAGGGTCTCACTAAGTTGCCTAGTTTGACCTTGAACTTGTGAATCTTCTGCCTCAGCCTCCTGAGTATCTGGGATTACAGGCATACCCCATTATACCCAGCTTGTTGCTTATTTTTTTGACTGGCCATAGAAATATGGTTGTATCCAGGCACTCTGTGGTCTAATACTGGTCTTATGGCTTAACATTGATATTCATTCATGTAACTACTGTTTCTCAAACATCTACAGTGTACAAGAACTCTCCTTATCTAGAGCACAGACTGTTCAGCTGGCACCCTGTGACCTCAGAGAGAAAATACAGGACTACTCTCTATAGGAGCTGCCCACAATAGTGGGGTGTGCTATGCATGTATCTTCATTTGATGTGGCCTCTGTGCCCTTCTGTCACCAGAGAGCTTAAGGTTCTAGCCCAGTAGAAAATTAGGTGTCAGTGATAAGGGACTCCCTAGGACCTCTTTTTCCTGACCATTGTATGTCCTAAGATGGGTCAGAGTAGACCTGTCAGAAGATTGGGCTGCTCTGCAGAAAGCCATCATCAAGCTGAGTTTGAGTGCTGCAGGTACCTAGGACACCCAGCCCCAGCTCCTTTCCATCCCATATGTGAAATGATGGGGCCCTAAGAACCGAAGAGGTCATGGAGACAGAAGGAAGAGTGAAAGACTGAATCAGAAGCCTGGGTACCTTTTGTTCCTAGTAGTAACTTCTGGGTTCAGAGGGGCCAGGAAGGCCAACCACATATGCCTGTCAAGCATTTTGGGCCTGGAGTGCCTTTTGGATCCCTGTTATCCACCTCCTTGTAAGTTGTTTAAGCTATTTCTGAGCTCATAGTAATTTTCCTGAAGGAGCCTCAGGTAAATAAGGATGGAAAATAACCAAAACCAAATTGACTATAAATGATAACTTTAGCTTTTAGGAACAATAGATGACTAATTTTACAATGACCTTGACAATCGGAGAGCAATGGCTGTGGGGAAGAAAACTGACTGAATAATCCAAGATGATGTCAAACTATATGTCCTTGTATCTCGTTATTCATAGTCAAACTATTACCTGGAATTCTTTATTTTGTAGGAGATAACTCATCCAAACAGCTGATTAACATATAATTAAAATATAGTATAATTTTAAGTTTATATGCTGCTTCATACCCAACAATTGTATCAAATAAGCCAAGTATATTATGCACAGTTGATCTCACACGAAGCAGGTGAGAACAGGTTCTAACACCACGTCTTATATTAATAGACATTGTTTATAAAGTATCTCTATTTTTGGAAATGTTAAATATAAATTAATTCGGAAGACTGATCATTTTTAATCTGAGAAATATGTATAAGGGAGCCTACTCTTACGTAATAATATAATAATGTGAATTGGCTTCCTCTAGCCTAGTAGATAGAATTTATTAATATGGATTGTTGCATAACCAGTTTTCTTACATCAAGGCTACTTGCAGAATTGCATGGTAATAGCTTCTGTTGAAGATGGCTCTGCACTGACCCCTGGCGGTATCCCGCAGTCTCTTGCAGTTAATCTACAAGAGGAAATGAAGGAACCCTTTTTTGAACCTGTTCTGCTGTTTCTAGATCTGGTAAAGAGATCTTGAGCTATTTAAATAAAAATTGTCATATCGATATGATGAGGTATTATGCTGCCATTAAAAATTATTTTTCAAAGAATATTTTTGTCAGAAGATCTTTACATAATCATTTATTACTGTTTTGTTTTTTTTTTTTAATTATCTTTTAACTAGGGGACATACTTAAAAAACAAAACCTATACAAATTATTTTCTAACCAGGGACTCCACATCTGGGTATGCAGGAGCCAGATAGACCTTAAAATCAGAGGAATGGGGGGTTAGGATTGTAGCTCAGTGTAGAGCACTTGCCTAGCTCGTGTGAGGCGCTGGGTTCACATAAAAATAAATATAGGTATTGATTGTGTCCATCTACAACTAAAAAAATATTTTAGAAAATCAGAAGAATGGGGTCTGGAACTGACTTGCTTTACCTTATTATTGGTCATTTTCTTAGCAACACAAAGTCATTCAAGGACTTGAAGCCACATTAGACTTACATTCAAGTGTCCTTTTGGTGGAATGGAAGCATTTGTGACAGGCTCTTTCCACTGCCTTTATTGTTTTAATAAGTGCTATTGTGTGGAGCTGCCTTCCCTCTGCCAGAGGCCCTGACTGAATCAAAGAGGACTCTGCCTCTAACCAACTGTGGAAATTCAACCCCTTGGTTGAGTTACTTTTTTCCCTCTGTAACTTAGAGCAAAGCAGTCAATAAATCTCAAAACCCTAGGATCCCCTGACTCCCAGACTTTTAATTGAATTCCTGCAGACTCCTCTGGAGATATTGAGGAGAAAAAATTAAAATGTCAATAGGTCTAGCATATGCAGGTGCTATAATAGATTACACACTAGTCTTGACTAAATCACTTTCTTCTACCATGCCTAGCCAGTGAACAGAAAAGCATTTTTTCCTTTTTTGTCTATACCAAAAAGGTAACATTATTTTGTTTTGTTACCAAAGATTGAACCCAGGGGTGTTTAACCACTGAGCCAC